TTCTTTGAAACACTAAAAAATCTCTGGTTGAAACGAAAACCTGAATCTTCTTTAGCTCAAAATATACCAGTTTCACTGCCGGTTCAAAATATTGCTCCACAACCAGTTCAACAACCAGTTCAACAACCAATTCAACAACCAATTCAACAACCAGTTCAACAACCAATTCAACAACCAATTCAACCAACATATTTTAAAGTTGATCCTAAAGCTTATGTAGAGGATACATATGGTCAAGGCATATGGGCTTTAGATAAAAGAGCACAAGATACATATAACACAACCAGAGATATTATAAATCGAGGTAATGATATTATGCGCTATAATCAGCCCTATGAAAAATAAGCACAGAAATTCTGTACATTTTCCGTACATTTTCTGAAATTCCATACAAATTCCGTGTTTTAAGATTTTTTGGATATGGAAAATGTACAGAAAATGTAAGGAAAATTTTCTGTATGGAAAATGTATGGTTTTGTACTGGAAAATTTCTGTATGGAAAATGTATGGTTTTATACCAGAAAATTTTGGGAATTTTCCATTCCAAAAATGTACAGTTTTACATGGAAAATTTCTTATTACAAGAGCATACAGCATTGATTTTATTTAAAAGTCTATATCATCATCATCAATTATACAATTAATTTCAGTTTTTCTATTTGGTGGTCTAAAAGATAAAAATCCTACACAATGGTCAATTCCAATTATTTCTATAAATTTAGTCGAGCCATAATCTTCAAAATATTTTAGACCATATTCATCTGTTATGACATCAGTAGTGAAGTGAACTAGTGCTAGCATATGGTCTTTTCCATTATAATTATGAATAATATAATATAAAATTTTTCCAAATTTAATTACTTCTTTTAAATCTTGAGGTGCATTTTTTCTTCTAGCATTTAAATCAATAGTCATATTAATCTAATTGAAGAAAAAAAATATTAGAATGCATTTTACATTTGATATTAAAATTAATTATTTAACAAAAATTATTACATACTGCAACCAGATAATTATTTTTTCTTTTTTCCTTCTTATCTTCATTATATATAGATTTTATGATATGGCCATATTTGTTCATCATTTTTGCATACTTATGACAATCAGGAGAAATATTCTAGGTCATAAAATTAATTGAGGAAATTAATTATTGTGTTTGAACATAAGGAACTGAATTTGAATCAAATGATTACCTTTATATATTGATTATTTAAATTATAAATGGCACCATAGCATTCCTTTAACTTATTCGCTTCACTATTATTTAATGAATGCTTCACACTTGGTGAATAGAATTCATAACCTTCATAATTGTTATTAACATACACTCTATGGGAAGGCCAACCCCTATTTTCCTCTACAGATTCTTCAAAAATTGTACTATATTGAGGGAAAAATTTAATTAAATTGAATTGTTCCAATAAAGTAATATTATTAAATAAATTTTTGTATGGGTCCTTTTTGGATTTTGTTAATGGTAACAACATCCCACAAAGCCTTTCAATTGGATATTGCCAATAGCCACAACATGGTCCAAAATCATCTATACACTTGCTTATATGTAGTAAGTAATGAAATGTTAACAAATGTATTCTCAATCTTTCTTGGTTACCATCTTCATTATAATTACTAAAATTAAATAATATTTAATAATCAAGAATTTAAAAACTATAATAAAAAAAAGAATAATAAATTTTTATTTTTACTCAATATAACTTAAATAAAAATTTTCCAAATTCTCCTTAATCAAGTTTGGCTCATCTCCTTCAAGTTGTGGTTCTATACATAACTTTGCTGCCTTTACAAAATAATTCCATCCTTGCAAAAATCTTTATTCTTCATTAGTATATATATATAATTAAATTTATAAATATCATCATAATTACCTTTCATCAATTCTACCTTTAATTAATGGCAATGAAAAATGCAATATCCATTTAGACCACTCTTCAGCTTTATAACCAGCTGAATGTTTATATATATCTCTTGGTATTCTTCCATTACTGGGCATATTATACTTGTTATTATGTAGAATAGTACCAATTTCTTTCCAATCTTTTTTGCCAATTAAATAATTTTCATCTAAATCAACATTCTTATAAAAATTTCCAGACCAAAATTTGTACATATTTGGAGCCATATTTTCAAAAAATAAATGCATAATGTCAAGTGGAAAAGATCTTGGAAACCTTATAGATTTCAATTCAAATAAAATGCTCTTTTCTTTAACCCCTATTAAAATGGTATTTATATAATGTGATAAAACAATTAAAAAAATTTAAGAATAGATACAAATAGATAAAAAATTTAAATAAAATGAAATTACCATATTTTTTTATTAATGACTCTTTGAGGTTATTTGATCCACAACCATTAATTTCATCAATATTTTTTAAAATTTCTTCATGGCCCCGAAGAGGAAGATTTGATGTAGAATGGTTTTGTAAAGGATAATATATATGTCGATTACTTGTCAGCAATTTTCCTTCAATCTTGCAAAATCTACACCCCTGATAAGAATTATGTCCTGTGAAACACATAACTTTTGTTACAGCAGGTATATCTCCTGTCCAAGCCAAGATGTGAGCTTTTAATTGAAACAACTCATCATTCAAAGCATCATAGCATTCTATTCCATCTATGAAATAATTATAATAAATTAATTTTAACTCTTAAAATTCATATTAAATACAAAAAAAAAGAATTCAAATTAATGAAATTAAAAAATTTAACCTTGTAGAATTTTCATTTCTTCAATAAATGGTTGTAGAAATGAATTGAAATCTTTTGGTTGATTGGGACCTGGTATAATAAAACTTATTATTAAATTTTCTTTTTTCACCCTTACTTCTGGTGCAAGATTGTTATTTATTACTAAAAAGACCCAATTATCATCTGTTTTTTGTTGGAAGATTTGATAACCATCACAAGAAACTGTCAATGCCAACTCCCTTCTATCTTCAAAAAATCCTTCTTCACATAGTTCTTTGTACATATTTCCATCAAAAACATCACCAAAGATTTCATCATCATTATCACTGTTTGTTGAGGTATATTCCCAACGATACAGCAAATCTTTTACTCTTTCCTTATTATTGAATTGAATTTTCAACCTCTCAATTAATGATAAGTAGGGCATGTGTTTTCTTCCTTTTTTATTTATATATCTAGGTTCATCACAAATAGGACATGCATGATCTGAATTGTATTTTCCATAAAAGAGACAACAACTATTAATACACATATCATAATATTTAGGCTTGATAGGCACCAATTTATCCAATTCTTTTTTAGCCTTGAACAGACTAATTTTTTTCTTAATGATTTTAGAAGAGATGTCATTGAAAGCTTGATTTGAAAAATTATGTATTGTCTTCAAGTAAAGTAAATTCAACCCAGTCAAAAGATTTTCTTTGGAAAGTTTATCTTCATCTAATATTATTTTACATAAAAAAACAAATGTTAATATAATGAATAAATTATTTATGGAGTCAAATTTGCTTTTTGTTAAAATTACATTCATCTTCACCATCATCTTCTTCTGAATCACAATCATCATTAGAATCACTAGAATCACTAGAATTGCCATTAGAACCAAGATCATTATCATCTAAATTATCTTTTGAATGACATAAAATCAAATTATTATTAACAGATAAATATATTAGCAAATTCTTTCTCCTCCAAATACCATCATTATTAATTCCTGTTTCATTTGTTTCATTATTATCCTCAACTTTTAAAAAGTCAAAAAACCATCAAAATCAAGTTGGTTGTTAATATTACTAAAAAAAAAATAAATTAATAAAATAATTTTTTCTCTATAATACCATCAATATCATCAGTTTCTATTCCAGACATTGAAGAACTTGCATCAGAATTTGAAGTAATTCCAGAATCAGAATCAGGATTATCTTCTAATTCCTGATTTATATTACTATTTCTCTTATGTTTATTCCAAGTTGTAATATGTAAATATTTTCCCTCACCATTTGATTTATTTAAACAATTGATACAGCAACATAGCCTTTTGTTATTAGACATTTTATATAAATTTAAAATTTTAAAATTTAAATTGATTATTTATTTGTCACACAATTTTTAGTGTAGAAATGATATTGTATTTAGAAAAAGTGAAAATGAAGAATTTTACAAAAAAATAAAAAATAAAGAAAAAATATTGAATAAAAAAGAAAAGGGGTCAGCATCCATCCAATCCAAAATCACTAAGAAAAATATAAATATATTAATGATAATAAAAAAATGTTGAATCAAAAAAGACATTCACACCAAAAACAAATATATAAAAAGCCCAAACCCAAAATGACAAGAAAAATATATTAAATAATAATAAAAAATCCTGAATCAAAATCAAGTTGGCACCCAGCCAAACCCAAAATGACCAAGATGAATATATTAAATAATAATAATAAAATTCTTGAATCAAAAACAAGCTGGCACCCAGCCAAACCAAAAATAATTAATTATATAAAAAACCAAACCCAAAACAACCAAGAAGAATATATAAAAAAATCTTGAATCAAAAACAGGCTGGCACCCAGCCAAACCTGAAATCACCAAGAAAAATTGATTCACAATAAAAAAGCTAGCACCTAACAAAACCCAAATGACCAAAAAATATATTATTAATAATAATAAAAATAATGTTCAAATAAATTATGAAAAAATAAAATATTTTTTTCTTTTTCTTGAAGATAAAAAATTTTTAAAATATAATAAATATTATTATTTGATATGTTAAAAGTTTTATTATTGTTGTTGTTGCTTTAGAATATGCGGAGGGTTGAAATTATCTTTGAATGGTGGAGCTACTTTTTTCATTTGAGCAATTCTGACTGTAGTGTCCATCTTGATAGCATTTTAAACAAGAATTATGATATTCGTCCTTAATATTGGGACAATTGAAGATATTGTGACCATAGTATCGACATCTATAACACAATGTTTCACTTTGACTACTTTTCCATGGTGTGTTGGTTTGAGAAATTTTGACATTGTTTGCAGATTCTAAACCTGCTGCAATAGCAGCATTGGTATGATCATTAGTATTAGTAGGTGTAGATCTAGCATTAGTGTTAGTGATATTCAATAATATTGTTAGTGTATTTTCCTGCAAACTTAATAGTCTATTATTCATGTTGGATATGTCTCTAACTAATTCTCTATTTTGAGTTGTAGTATCCATTAACATGGTCATAAAATCATCCATTATTCTGTTAACACTATTATTTTCATTACTATTATCTTCACCATTATTATTATTTAATTGCATTTTGTATATAATATGTGAGAGAGTTTGCTTGTTGATGGTTGAATATTAAATGATCAATTACTATTATTATTATTAGTTATTATTTTTATTAGTTATTATTGTTGTTGTTATTGTTAATTATTATTAATTATTATTATTTACATTACCTTGTAACAATTTTAAATATTATGAATATATATCTTGCGTTGTTGTTTTTTAAAGTTTCTTTTTAAAAATAATGAATGATTTCTATGTTGATGGTTGAATATTAAATGATCAATTACTATTATTATTATTAGTTATTATTATTATTAGTTATTATTGTTGTTGTTATTGTTAATTATTATTAATTATTATTGTAATGATTTTAAATATTATGAATATATACCTTGCGTTGTTTTTTAAATTTTCTTTTTAAAAATAATGAATGATTTCTATGTTGATGGTTGAATATTAAATGATCAATTACTATTATTATGATTAGTTATTATTTTTATTAGTTATTATTGTTGTTGTTATTGTTAATTATTATTAATTATTATTATCATTAATTATTATTATTTACATTACCTTGAAATGATTTTAAATATTACAAATATATACTTCATGTTGTTGTTTTTTAAAATTTCTTTTTAAAAATAATGAAAAAATAATATATATTATATTATTACCTTTTTAATTATTTTTGAAATGAAAATATTATAATCTTGCTTTCCTACTATAGTGTTATTAATGTTGATTTATATTAAATGATTGATCAATTACTATTATTATTATCAGTTATTATTGTTATTAGTTGTTATTGTTAATTATTATTAATTATTATTATCATTAACTATTATTATTTACATTACCTTGCAACAATTTAAATATTACAAATATATACTTCACGTTGTTGTTTTTTAAAATTTATTTTTAAAAACAATGAATGATTTCTATGTTGATGGTTGAATGATTGATCAATTACTATTATTACTATTAGTTATTATTGTTATTGGTTGTTATTGTTAATTATTATTAATTATTATTATCATTAATTATTATTATTTACATTATCTTGTAACGATTTTAAATATTACTTCGCGTTGTTGTTTTTTAAAATTTATTTTTAAAAACAATGAATGATTTCTAACTGGTTGATCATCTGTTGATTAAAATTCCCAAATTTCGTTGTCATAACAAAATTCATTTAATAATAATTAATAAAATAAAATAAAATAAAATGTCTACAGTAAAACTTAGTTCAATCAATCAACGTCTTACAAGGTTGTTAGAGGAACGCGAAAAAGAATTGTCAATAATTGTGAGTTTATACATTGATAACTTGTAAAGTTTTTTTTTACTTTTTACTAATTTTTATCTTTACTTTATATCATAATTATAAGAAACAAAACCAATTGCCTATTTATAAGCCAAAAAAATCCAGAAGGTTGTTAGTTGCAGATGTGTGTAGAATCTTCAACATCACAAAAGGACAATATAAAAGTTATCAAGTAATAAATAATATAAATATATAAATGCAATACTATTTGAGTATTATTTAATTCAAGTTTACTCCCTAATATAGGAGCAAATTCGATTCTTAATAAATATGAAAAAATCAACATTAGTAACATTAGTAGGAGAGCAAGATCGTAATATTTTCATTTCAAAAATAATTAAAAGGGTAATAATATAATATATATTATTTTTTTAATATCACCCACAATTCAGTGTATAATACAATTTTCTTTTTAATCTATAGTTTTATGAAAAAAATCCTGACACATATTGTGGTGATGGAGATTGGCTCCTGAAATTGTTGATCAAAAAAAATATTCAGAACCATAGTAAGAAGATTATTAATTGTAATTTTGTTTAAAACTTTATAATTATTCATTATTTTTTTGTACAAATAAAAGAGGACTACATCAAGAAAAAGATCAAAAAAAAAATGATTATTAACCGTGGTAATAATCATGATAATAATATTATTATCAGTAGTAGTAATCATAATGATTATGATAATGATTATAGTAATGATGAAAGTAAGATAATAATAAAATGATTTTAAATATTTATGGAATATATTTGAAAATTATATAACATTAATTTTTTATAATTGAAGACAATCCTACCAATAATAGAAATCAAAAAGTCCTGGTCCGTGTAACAACTACCACCATCAATAATAATAAGAATCATGGCTGCGTAACCACCATCAATAATAGTAATAATATCTATTCCCATGTAACCACCAGGAATAATAATAATATTGTCAGCAATAGTGAAAATTATAATAATGATGATGATTATGAAAGTTTCACCGAAAGTTCCATCTCCACTAATGGTAATGATAAAAAACAAGCTATTCATACAACCACCAATAACAATATTATCGACAGCAGTGACAATGATACTGATACTGATGATACTTATGATAATGATAGTGATACTGATGAAGATTTCACCAAGAATAATAATAATAAGAAAAAGAATAATAATATTGTCAGCAATAGTAAAAATTATAACAATGATAAAGAAAATAATCATCATATAGTATCTAGTGATGAAGGTTTCACTAAAAGTCACATATCCACCAATGGTAATAATAAAAAACAAGCTATTCATACAACCACCATCAATAACAATACTACTGACAGCAGTGACAATGATACTGATACTGATGAATGTTCCACCAAGAGTCCTGTCTATGTAACCACCAAGAAGAAGAATAATAAGAGTCATGCCCATATAATCATCAGAAATAATAATATTGTCAGTAATAGTAAAAATCATAACAATGATACAGCTACCACCAATAACAATACTATTATTAGTAATAGTAAGGATGATGATAAAGAGAATAATAATAATGAAACTGCTGTCAATCATGATGATGATAATGATACTAATGAAGATTCCACTAATAACAGTAACAGTAATAACAATAAAAGTCATGCCCATGTAACCATCAGGAATAATAATAAGAATTGTGCCCGCATAACTGCTAGGAATAATAATACCACCACAGTTGTCAATAATAGTAAGAAATTTTTAATTTTTAGTTTTTTTATTCCATTTCTACAAATTATTTATTTTATTATAAAATTTATACAATCAAACAGTTAAAAAAAAGAAGCAAGATATTATTAAAACTAGTATGGAAACTAGATCAAAGTCCAAAAAATAACTATAAGAAATTAGATATATTACAATTACACTGATCACTAAAATATTGTTATATTTTTATGCACATATCATCAATAAAATCAATTAAAATAAGACAAGTTAATCAGTAAATTTCAACTAGTGATAACCAGAAATTTCATATTCAATTTTATACCTCATTTCATATGAATCATAATCATAACCATCATCAGAATCACTAGAACTACCATTAGAACCAAGATTATTGTCATCTAAATTATCTTTTGAAAACAGATAAATATATTAGCAAATTCCTTCTCCTCCAAATACCATCATAAATATTAATTCCTGTTTCATCATTATCCTCAACTTCCATTTGATTTACTTAAACAATTGATACAACAACATAGCCTTTTGTTATTAGACATTTTATTTGAATTTAAAATGATAATTATATTTAAACAAATTTTTATTTAAAATTTATGATTTTGTACAGTTGCATCCATAAATACAATTATAAAATTTTTCGTAATTAAATAATATATATATATATATATATATATATATATATATATATATATTATATATATGTATGTATACACTGATTTTTTTAACTGATTTTTAACTGGTTGAAAATTTTTTATGATCATCCGTTAATAATAAAACCCATTGTCGTGAACATTATTATTGTTATTATTATTAGTTATTATTATTTATTAGTTATTAGATGTAATTGTCCTAATATCAAAGAAGAGTACCGACTGGAAGGCATATTTAAAATGTTATCAAGATAGTAATTATAGTCAAGATATTCAAAAAGAAAAGTTAATTCCACCATTCAAATTTCAACTTTCATCATTCTAAAGCAACAACAATCAAAGGAATATTTATTTACTATTATTAAATATATAATATATATTATTATTATATATTATTATTAATTTATTTTCTTGGTGGTTTTGGCTGGGTGCCAGTTTTTTGATTGTGTTGGCTGGGTGCCAACTTTATTTATATATCATTGGTTATTTTGGTTTGGATTTTTATATATTATTATACAACATAATTTTTCCTTTAACAATTTTTATATAAAATTCATTGTATCAAATCAGCAATAACAATAATAATTCACAGTAATGAATAATAATAACTGATAATAATAGTAATAAATAATAATAATAGTTTCATCAATATACCACAAGATTATTAATGGACAGGAAAACTATCAATAATTGTGAGTTATACATAATAACTTGTAATGTTTTTTTTACTTTTTACTAAAATTTATCTTTATTTTATATTATAATTATAAGAAACAAAGCCAATCACCTATTTATAAGCCAGAAAATTCTAGAAGCTTAATAGTTGCAAACATGTAAAATATTCAATGTCACAAAAAGACAATATAAAAGTTATCAGGTAATAAATACAAGTACAAGTACTATTTGAGTATTATTTTAATTCAAACTTGCCTAATTAATATAGTAGCAAATTTGGTTCTTAGTAAATATGAGAAAATCAACATTAATAGGAAAGCAAAATTATATTAGTTTTATTTCAAAAATAATTAAAAGGGTGGCAATATAATATATATTATTTTTTTTTAATATAATCTATAAACTATATTTTAACTTCTCTTGAATGTTACACAGTCCCGTCTATGTTTTTTAATATTACCCACAAACATAATTCAATTCTATTGTCTTTTTTCTAATATTTCATATTATTAATAGTAATTTTTTTTAATCTATAGTTTTATAGAGATTGGCCCCTGAAGTTGTTGGTCAAACAAAATATTCAGAACTATAGTAAGAAGATTATTATTTTTTATTTTTTTTTGTATAAATAAAAGAGAACCACAAAAAAATGATTATTAACTACAACAATAATAATAATTGTGATAACAATGATGAATATGATAATTATGACATTGTGTATGAAAGTAAGAGAATAATAATATGATTTTAAATATTTGTGAAATATATTTGAAAGTTACATAACATTAATTTTATATATATTATTAATGAAGACAATCATACCAATAATAGAAACCAAAAAGTCCCGCTCCGCGTAACCACCACTGCCAATAATAATGAGAGTCATGCCTGCGTAACTACCATGCCTAGGAATAATAATATTATTATCTTTTTGTTATGGCAACAATGAAATTTGGGAATTTTAATTATTTAATTATCAATAGATGATCAACCAGTTAGAAATCATTTAAAAAATGATGACATGAGGTATATATTCATAATATTTAAAATCATTACAAGGTAATGTAAATAATAATAATTAATGATAATAATAATTAATAATAACAACTAATAACAATAATAACTAATAATAATAATAGTAATTGATCATTTAATATTCAATCATCAACAAGCAAGCTCTCTCACATATTATATACAAAATGCAATTAAATAATAATAATGTTGAAGATAATAGTAATGAAAATAATAGCATTAACAGAGTAATGGATGATTTTATGACCATGTTAATGGTCACTACAACCCAAAATATGCTAACAATATTATTGAATATCACTAACACTAATGCTAGATCTACATCTACACCTACTAATACTAATGATCACACTAGTCTGCCTATTGCAGCATGCTTAGAATCTGCAAACAACATCAAAGTTTCTCAAATAATAGTAATAGTAAGAAAATTTTAATTTATTATTTGGAAATTCATTTCTACAAATTATTTATTTTATGAATAAAATTTATAGGGAAAATTTATATAAAAAAAGAAAGATCAAAAAATAAGTGTAGGAAATTAAATTATTCATTGTTAATTATTATTATGAATTTGAACAATAATTATACTGACTGATTCTTCATTTCCATTAAATATTGTTAGTGACTTCATTAATATTGCATATTTTTTTTGTTGGAGGTTTTTTTTGAGATATTTTATTCCAATTATTTAATTACAAAAGATTTTATAACTGTATTCATGAATGCAACTGTTTTTTTTGTGCATACATTTATGTTTACATATATTATATTAATAAAATAAAATTACAATTAAAATAGACATGTATGTTGCTCAGTAAATTCAAAATTCAAAATTCAAATTTGTACCCAATCCCATACTAATTATATACCAATTCACATTAATATTAATATACCAATTCATATACAATTCCGTACAAATTCATATACAATCCCATACAAATTCATATACAATTCTGTACTAATTCTGTAATGATTTTCCGTGCATTTTCCGATTTTTCATGACATATTCCGTGCATATTCTGTGCATTTTCCCAACATTTTCCCAACATTTTCCTTGATTTTATGTACAGAAAAGCGCTCTTTTATGGCAAAATTCCGTTCCTTTTCTGGGTAGCAATTATAATGGAATTACCTGTGCATTTTCCGTACATTTTCCGTACATTTTCCGTACATTTTCCGTGCATAATTTTTTATAGGGCAGGGCAACATTGGAGGCTTAGAATTATTAATAGATCGTGTTGCACAAAGAAAAATCGAACTAGAATCCAATCCAAAATTTAATAAAATTAATAGATATCAGAATATTAGAGACACTGCCCAGAAAGCTATTGATCATGAAATAAATCATCATGATGATCCAATGGATATAGACTATACTCTTATTAATCTTGCTAGAGAACTTCAAGGAGGTACTCCTAGAAGGATTGTAAATCGAACTAATGCTAAAAGGAAGAAGCCTAAGCCTAAGAAGGGTGCTAAGAAGACAAAAAAGGTAGCCAGACATATTATTATTAATCAAGATAATGATGA